ATTATTATTATTATTATTATTATTATTATTATTATTATTATTATTATTATTATTATTATTATTATTTTATTGTAAGAAAAGGGAAGGAAACCGGGAACTGTAGTTATATTGTACTAAGATGGAGTCTGTTAGGTTCTGTGTCAGATGAATTTAAAAGAGATGTTTTTCAGGAGCTTTGTACAGAGTTGTTTGCCTGATTCACAAGGTTGGACAGTCCAGGAAAAGGAGACGAGACAACAGACCACTAACTAGGAGAAGAGAAGACACCTGGAGCCTGGATCATGAGAATTTGGGGGGGGGGGGATTGGAGTGTTCTGAATTACGCCTACTTGGACTTAATTGGTTGGTTGACAGCTTGAAAGAGTAATTAGGAAGGAGGTCCTAAAGAGATGTAAAATGAGAGGGTTTGGGTATGTGGAAAAAGGTTTGGTGAATGCTGTAGAATGGGAGACACAGAGGCATGTTTTTCTTTTACCAAAGAAGGGGGGAGAATAGCCCAGCTTCTAGATGCCAACATGTAGGGGCAGAGAGCAAAGATGATGATCTAGCTGTTTTTATTTTAATTAGAAATTGCAGGTTTATTTAAACATTGTAACAGATGGATATGCTCAATGCTTTCAGGCTATAACTGCATGCTGATGAATCTACTTTATTTCCTTAATAAAACAAATACAATTCTTCAACAAGGATCTATTCTCTTGATACAGCAGGACTATCTAAATCCAGTGTGGATGAAAGAGAAATAATGGTTGCTACTGCAAGTTAAAAGGCCCTACTGTCCTACTTTGCAAGATGGGTGTGCGTTCTAAGGAAGCACATATTCCATGGTTTATTGCTTTGGAAGCAGTAAGGTTCAGGGTTGCCTATGGAGCTTACTACGTACTTCTGAAGCCTGACAGACCTATCTCAGGAAATAAAGGTGGAGCAAATCATTGACTGCGATCATTGTCTCTTTAGGAAGACGTGAGCGTTACAATTATCATCATCAACAACAAAAAAGACATCTCTGATGTTATTGGAGAAGCATTTTCCCCCCAATAAAAATAATATATTAATTAGGTATTTTTTTTATGTGTGTGGTCAGAAAAACTGTAGGAAGCTTTCTGCTTTCTCTGTTCTCATACAAGATGCAAAGCCCTTTTATTTCTGATTCAGGCTAAAAAGGCAACTGAACAGGAAGGGATGAGAACAGAATTTTCCAGCGTACAGAGACTTTCCATTCGGGGGGGAAAGACAATAGACCATGAGCTGCCTATTGCAAAATAACTAGGCTCTATAATGGAGAATTTGTGGGAAGCTTTTTAAAAAAATCTGAATAAGGCTGTTACTCTCCATTTATTTCATTCTCAAAGTTGTCCATAGGTAGGTATTCCTCTTTTTTAAGTTATTGGCTTAAGTTAGTTTTTTTTGCATTTTATTCAACATTGCATTGTCTGAGATTTTGTTATGTATTTAGTCATTGATGTAATGATTGTTTCTAATGGTTATGTTATCAGCATGATGATTCAAACTCACAGTGACCTTTTTCAGGGATTTACAAGGATAAAATATGCAAATCTGGTTCATCCGCCTTCTGGTGGCACCCTGGGATCACACAGCTTGCCCAAGGCTGTACAGGTGGCAGGATGCTACCAGCCACAAACACCCTCTGTGATCTCAGTTGGCAGCTCCAGCCAGGCACCCCAACCCACTGAGCCACACTGCTTCCCTGCATTTGCTATACGGATTGCTACTGCATATGTTGAATGCCTCTTTGAAAACTCATAGTGGAAAAATAGTGGAGGATAGAAATAAGTGAATAGATACGTGCATACAATATTTTTCCATGCAGGAGAACTATCTGCAATCCAGGTTGTGTATCCTGTTCTTACAACCAACTGATAGTAATATTTTTTTCAACGGTATTGCCTGTTTTGGAAGAATTATCTGGTATGTTCTTTTTTATGTCACAAGTGGAAAATCACTGCTGTTTGCAGTATCAGCAGATCTGGTGCAAAACTTTCTACAGTGGAATCTGAGCAAAATGTATTGCTACAGTATCTATTGCTATAAACAGGACTATTACTCAAGGTTTACCAGCTCCCACCCCTCTAAAGGTTATCTTCTCTATCCAAGTCAGCAGTGAACACATTGAAAGATCAGAAACGGTCAGCTGAAAGCGTGTTCCGTCATTTCTCGCTCAAAGAGGAGGAAATAAAATATTAAAAGCTTTAATCTGATCACTATGCAGATTAATGACCTAAACTTCTGGGAATACGTCTTGACTGGCTGACCATCTGCCGTCAAAAATTCAAAATAGCTGACTAAGCTGAGATAATTCAGACAAATGTAGGAATCAGAGATGGCATACAGATAGGGCGCTGCTGGCCCCAGGAACCTGCTTTTATCACCTCAGCCTGCATTTTGGAATGGGGCTCGGGAAAAGGTTTTCCATCCGAGATCCTGCAAAGAGATCTGGTCCAGCCCTAGCACAGACCGTCTTGAAGAATTGCCTGCATGCTGAGCTCGCGTGGTTGCTGGCACCAGATCACACTTGAGCATCTCAGCCCTCTCCCTACGCAGTCTTGGGAAAGAGACAGCTTAATTTAAGCTGTCTAGCACCTTCCATCTCTAACACGCTTAACCCCTTTTTGCAATTTGCTGTCCCGTAGCGCAGCAGGGTGCGATTTAATACTCTTAGGCAGGGTTGGGCAACAAAGAAACACATGAGTCTGGGTTTTGCATCCCTGGCTGCCTCCCCCCCTTTAATGCAGCCTTTTCGAAACTGGTGCCACCGCCGTTGTCAGCAGTGGAACCAAGTTGCTGAAAAGCTGCAGCGCCAGAGCAGAAGCAGCAGGAGGAGCGACAGGTGTCCAGAGCGTTCTGTTCTGCCACGCAGATCGATGAGATTCTGTGGTGCCCGAGAACGCTCTGACATTTTCTTGCTCTTAGTGTTGCTGCTGAACGTTGGTGGTGACCGTGATGGTGGCAGGAACTTCAGAGGCAGAGTTTGTGGTCTGATCTCAGCGTTTTTATGAGAAATTCTGTAGGTTCGAAAAAGATACTTTCCACTTCAATGTCTGAAGTTTTTTTTTCCAGACTTGTATAAATAATGCCTGACCTGTAGGGATTTCAGATATCTATGCAGGCCTGACATAATGCTGAATCATCATCATCATCATTGAAAAACACCAGGCATAGTCAATCGAAATTATAAAAGCATTGACTGGTATTATGTAACATCTACAAGTTTTAACCAAAAACCTATTATTATTATTATTGTCATCATCATCGTCATCACCGTCGTCGTCATCATCATCATCACCACCACCACCACCAGCATCTCCTCCTCCTCCTCCTTCTTCGGGGATATATATTTCCTTTTCTCTCTCTTTTCGCGCAGGCGTGAGCAGACAGGAAACACCCATATCTGTTTCTCAGTGTGTTCCAATTTGTAATGACATTCAACAATCTATGATTAGTTTAAACTATGGTTAGTGAACAAGCAAGGATCAGAACCTGTGGCTTGTTTCAATGAAACATAGTTTGAAGTAGTAGTGGTTTTTCCTAGTTGAACATAATTACAAACCATAGGTATGTGAGTGTGACGGTGGAAATAACAGCAAGAAGTGCTGCGATCATCTAAGGCTGTTTTCATAGAAACAGAGTTTGGAAAAGTTACCTTTGAGGGACTGCAGTTCCCAGAATCCTGCACCTAGCAAGGTTAAGAGCCTTGTGGCGCAGTGGTTAAACTGCTGTACTGCAACCAAAACTGTGCTCACGGCCCGGGGGTGAATCCCAGGTAGCTGGCTCAAGGTTGATTCAGCCTCCCATCCTTCTGAGGTTGGTAAAATGAGTACCCAGCTCGCGGGGGGGGGGGGAGGCAATGTGTAGGCTGCATAATTAACTTGTAAACCACCAGAGAGTGCTTGAAGTGCTATGGGGTGGTATATAAACAACAGGCTTTGCATTTCACTTTGCTATAAGCACTGGCTACAAGCATTATGGTCTTCATTCAAATCGGGCCACAGTATAGTTCTTTAGCAAGTCTATTTACATGAAGTGAAGTTAGTTATGACCTCAAACATGCGAAAGAGTCTCATTCTTGAGAAAAGATTATCAATCAATGGATCATGGCATCACTACATTTGTTACAGATGCTAATGAGATTTGTAAGGTCTCTGGTATGTGATGAGATGGTCTGCTGTCAAATGTATGCTGTTTGATTGGAACACTCAACTCTAAAATTTAACTGTTGCCATCGAAATGGTCCAGAGCACCTTGTATTAACAAAGCTTGTGAACCTTTGAAGTGCCCCAAGTCTTTGTTGTCATCCTGCAATGGACTAACAGGGTTACCCTCTTGGAAATTAGCTGACTGCATTTAACAAAACTGTATCATTGGGAGACATTCGGAGATCGTAGACATATTTAAATTGATGTATGTTGCATTGATGTCTACTTGGTTTGTGGTCTAAAGAATCAACTACTTAGTAGCAGCCCCCTGACTGTGAAACTGTCCCTACATGGATGGTTTCTCAGATCCCTTCTTTTCCTGGCACCAGAAAACATATTTTTAAAGTGTTTATCGACAAACCATTGTGGACCTAACGATTAAATATTTGGCTCTATGAACAACAGCTGGACACTCACTGGCAATGCAAAATTGTTGCCTCTGCTTATTCCTAAATAACAGGTGATGAAGATGATTGTCAGTAAATATAACTCATCGCACGTTTTTTCATCTTCATAGGCTGGACAAAATTTGCACGGTTGACACGAGCGTTGACGAACAGCCGGAGTGTTTTGCAGCAGCTGACTCCTATGAACAAAGCTGAGGTGGTCCATAAACATTCAAGGCTAGCTGAAGTAAGTAACCACTGTTACTTCCTGTCATAGGCATTTGTCACCATATAAAGGGAAATGGGAAGGAGTGGTAGAGGGTGGAGGGGCTTATAAGGAGAGAGGCTGTGAAACAGTGGAGCTTGGGGATGACAGTTTCATAAACCCGGATAATTTGCTTTGGGTTTCTATCCAAACTTTATAGGAGCTCTCCAAAGTATATTCCCAAAATATGTTCAGGACCTTGGATAGCTCCTTTAATGTAAAGAGTACAGCTTGGAGCTGATTCACTCCCTCTCCACCCCAATATAGTCAATATCTTGTCCTGGTGGTTACTTGGGGAGTCTGCAGACCAACAGGGTTGGGTCAGGAAGAACTAGGGGGTTCTGTAATCACCATCAGAATTGTGACATATCTCAGCTTAAAAGTGCAAAATGCCTTATTTTTGATTTAATTTGAAAAAGTCAGTTTATCCAAAATTATTCTGAATTCTTCACTGGTCTCTGCATTTGCACTAAAGTAATTGTGGTGGTGTGTGTTTTGCTTAAGGTTCTTCAGCTGGGTTCGGATATTCTTCCACAATACAAGCAAGAAGCTCCAAAGACGCCACCACATATAATTTTACACTACTGTGCTTTTAAAACCACATGGGACTGGGTCATCTTGATTCTCACCTTCTACACAGCCATTATGGTTCCTTACAATGTGTCCTTCAAGACGAAGCAGAACAACATTGCATGGTTGGTCTTGGACAGTGTGGTCGACGTCATTTTCCTGGTGGACATAGTCTTAAATTTTCACACCACCTTTGTTGGACCTGGCGGAGAAGTCATCTCTGATCCCAAACTCATCAGGATGAACTACCTGAAAACCTGGTTTGTGATAGACCTCTTGTCATGTTTACCTTATGACATCATCAATGCCTTTGAGAATGTGGATGAGGTAAGGAGTTTCTCCTTCATTTGTCCTGGACCGATTCATAGTTACTGCATTCGGTTGTGATTTTGCTCCTGTAAGTCACAAACAAATCTGGGATTACTTTAGAACATAAAAAGACTTCTGCTGAATAAGATAGAAGGGTCAACTTGTCCAGAAATTCTGTCCCTATGGTAGATGATTAGCTGTCTATAGGAAGCCTACAAAGATGTGATGACTGCAATACCTTGGTCCTTATGTTTCTGAGCACCTGATACACAGAGGTCCATAGCCTCTAATACCTGGGGCAAGATGCAGCTATCATGATGAGCGCCCCATGATTCATTTTGTCCCTTGCCTTCTTCATTCCACGCACATGCTCTCATTAAACAATACATGCAATTTTCATAGTATAATGAGATATTTGGAAGGACCACTTTGATGACCTTTTTGTTTTAACCGCCTAAATAATTTGCCATTATTTGCAACCTTGACCAAATCACACTCATTCCTAAGTCCAAGTAATTTATAGACTAGTTACAAAGCACTGATCGCAATACACTATTATCCTTCTCTCCACTGTTTCACTGAAGATCCATTCCTTCATAGTTTCTGCATCTTAGCCGTTAAATGGGAGAACCAGCATAGTGTAGTAGTGGACAGTGTGTTGGGCTAGGACTCAAGAGGCCTGGATTCAAATCCTTGCTGGGCCATGGAAATTGACTGTAGTATGGTATTAGGAAAACCACTGCTTAAATACAGTATTTCACATACTTTGGAAACTCTGTGAAAGTTGCAATAATAAAATCAGAATCAAATAGGTGAAGTTGGAAGGGGTGTGCAAGGCCATCAAGTCCAAACCCCTGCTCAACCCAGGAATACAACCAAAGCATATCTGCCAGGTGATTATCCAAGTTTTTCTTGAATGCCTCCAATGTTGGAGCACTCACCAACTCCCAAGGTAACTGGTTCTACTGTCGCACTGCTCTAACAGTTAGGACGTTTTTCTTGAGATTCAACTGAAATCTGGCTTCCTTTAATTTGAGCCCATTGTTGCGTGTTCTGTACTCTGGGATGATCGAGAACAGATCTTGCCCCTCCTCTGTATGACAGCCTTTCAAATACTTGAAAAGTGCTATCATATAACCTCTCTGCCTTCTTTTCTCAAAGCTAAACATGCCCAGTTCTTACAGCCTTTCATCATAAGGCTTTGTTTCCAGCCCCCTGATCATCCTTGTCGCCCTTCTCTGAACTTGTTCCAATTTGTTAGCATCCTTCTTAAATTTTGGTGTCCAGGATAAGTCAGAATTGACTTGAAAGCACACAATATACACATTCTTTAAATAATTTCCTGTCTCATAGGAGGACTTCTCTTCTTCTTCCATAGGTTTGTTAGGTTTGGGTAGCTCAGTGAGCTGTGCACCTGGTGGCAGAGCCAGAGGTTGGGAATTTGTTAGGTTTGCCTAGAAGTCATGGGTGAAGGCCTTTTGAGGGTGCCTAACCATGCCCAATGCAATCAATGGGACTTAGGGGCATGCCCCAAAGAAGACTGGTTTAACACACCTAAGCAAGAGAGAGGGTGCAACTCTTCTGCCCTTTCCTTCTTAATTATTTTCTTCTGGTAAGAAGAAAAGAAAATTGAAAACATGGTGGGTGAGTGGGCGGGTGAGGAGAGTAATATATGGAAGATATATGGTTTACCTTTCAGATTTCTAGATTGAGCTGGAATTTTTAGCATGTATATGTTACTGAAACAGCGGCGTCTACTGTATGTTGGCTCGGGCATGTTGTAAGAATGGCTGATGGTCGGATTCCAAAGGATCTCCTGTATGGAGAATTAGTGCAGGGAAGCCGCCCCCGAGGGAGACCACAGCTGCATTACAAGGACATCTGCAAGCGGGATCTGAAGGCCTTGGAAATGGATCTCAACAGATGGGAAACCCTGACATCTGAGTGCTCAGCCTGGAGGCAGGTGGTGCATCACAGCCTCTCCCAATTTGAAGAGACCCTTGTCCAGCAGGCCAAGGCAAAGAGGCAGTCATGAAAGCAGCAAAATCAGGGAGCTGGACAGGGGACAGACTGTATTTGTCCTCAGTGTGGAAGGGATTGTCACTCTCAAATTGGCCTTCTCAGCTACACTAGACTCTGTTCCAAGACCTCCATGCAGAGCATGATACCAGTCTCTTGAGACTGAAGGAGGCCTATGCTATGGTGGTTGCAGGGCTGTCAGGCTTCTTAAGACCTAAAATAAACCTGGGTGGTTGAAATAACATCTAAAGGGCAAATTGTACCCCTTAAGGATTCAGGGGGGTGCCACTTACTTTGAGGGCATGATTTTTGTTGCCCCCTTTGGAGGGGGAGGGGAGGAGACTTCAGCCCACCAAAATCCATGAGAGGGCAAAAGGGTCCTGTAGACCTACAGAAGATATCCATCCAAAACTCAATGGACCTCCAGTACAACTGGATGGGGAATTGGGGAGATGGGAAGGAATCAGCTGCTTGGATAGCTCAGTGAGTTGTATATCTGATGGCAGAGCCAGAGACTTTGATTCCTCACTGTGAATCCAGAGTTAGACTGGCCAAGGCACAGTCCCAGAGCACCCCCAAGAGAAAGAGATTGGTAAATTAATTCCCACACCTAGAAAACTCTGGGAAGAGTTGCCATAAGTCAGAATCAGCTTGGGTGATGATGATAGGAATGAATCAAGGAAATGGTGGAGGTGAGATGCATTCGGAATTTTGGGGGTCTGCAGTTGCATTTCCAGCAAATTGTACTGAATATTCAACGTTGTTTTCCTGGATCTTTTTTTTCTGTGCTTACAGCATTTCTACAGCTTTGTTATAGGCAGGAATCTTGTTAGAGAGACAAAAAGGCTTAATATCTAAGATCTGACCAAATAAACAAACAAAAAAGGAAGCAGTTGCAGCAGTCGCTGAAAAAGTGACGACTTTTAAATAAGCATACTGTTTAATCAATCATTCTAACACTAAAGATGTTAAGTTGGATGCCGAAGGAGCAGAAAGAATAAATATGCCAAAAGATGGCATATTCTCTTTTCAAATGAAGATACATGTTTGTCCCGTCCTAAAAGCATGAATTCATAATTTCAAGGATAGCTCTATTTTTAATGCCCACCCATGAGATCTTTACTAAATGATGTGTGTTGTTTATTAGCATCAAATCTTGTCCATTCAGGGAAACCTCCTGCTTTAGAACAGGCTGAGAAGGACGTTTAACCATCATGGTCCAGCCTGGGATGTTCTAGACTTGTGGCTGTTCTGCTGTGATCCAGACCTTATACAAATCAGTCCTAATTGGGCTGATGCTTGGTCAGTATCTTGAGATTTTTTTTTTTCCAAATTCAGTGCATAGCCCTTTGGGGAACTCTTCCGAGAAGTTGCAATGAAGGCAAAATCGGCACCAGCAACGGGGAAGTCATAGGGTGTGAATAATAACCACCCACCACTGAAAGGGGGTCAGTTAGGGCAAATGGTGGGTGACCACCCTTGTAGTAGCTGGAAAGAGTGGTAGATGTCATACATTTCCTCCAGCAGTGAAAGAATGAGAACAGCTCGATTCCCAGTGAGCCAACATTAGATTCTGGCTTAGTTCATCTAGGTGTCAACTGTTAAGGAAGTGTGTAGTGGCAGGTGCTGGCTGGATAGTTCACTGAGCTGGATATCCAGCTTGGGAGTTGGATTCCCTTCTACGGCTCCTGGGAGAACAGCCAGCATGCCTAGCCTTGGGCAAGCTGCATGGTAGTCCCAGAATGTCCCCACTGAATAGTAAACAATTTTCTATACCTAGAAAACTTGGAAAGGATCACCATGCATTGGAATTGACATCATGGCAAGGAAGTATTATTGTTATGCCTTCAATGGAGGAGGAAGAGAACTAACCAGGATTACTTAGCCCTTCCTTCTGTGGACTTCGTCTTCACTTCCTCTGGCCACCCTGCTTTCCATTCTGAAAACAACAGAATGAAATTCAACAGGGTTAAGTGTAAAGTACTGCATCTCGGAAAAAGAAACCAATTGCACAGTTACAGGATGGGGGATACCTGGCTCTGCAATACTATGACTGAGGAAGGATATTGGAATTGTTGCAGATCACAAGCTGAATATGAGCCAACAGTGTGACATGGCTACAAGAAAGGCAAATGCTATTACAGGCTGCATTAAAAGAAGTATAGTCTTCAAATCCCACAAGGTATTAGTTCCCCTCTATTTCGAACTGGTTAGACCTCATCTGGAGTACTGTGTCCCCAGTTCTGGACACCCCACTTCAAGAAAGGTGCTGACAAATTGGAAGAAGTTCAGAGGAAGGCAACAAGGATGATCAGGGGACTGGAAACCAAGTCTTATGAGGAAAGAAAGAAGTAGGCATGTTCAACCTTGAAAAAAGTAGACTGAGGGGCAGATAGAATAGCACTTTTCAAATACAGAGGAGGGGCAGGATCTGTTCTTGATCATCCCAGAGTGCAGGATACACAACAATGGAAGCCAGATTTTGGTTGAATATCAGGGAAAATGTCCTAACTGTTAAAGCAGTACGACAGTGGAACCAATTACCTTGAGGGATGGTGAGTGCTCCAACACTGGAGGCATTGAAGAGAAGTGTAGACAACCACCCGGCAGATATCCTTTGATTTGTATTCCTGCACTGAAGTGTGGGTTGGACTTGATGGCTTTGTAGTCTCCTTCTGACTTCATGATTCTATGATTCTGTGATTCTAGTCATGGTCAACACCAGCTATGCCTGCCTGCCAACCTGCATGGAGTTAATAAGACTTCCTACCCAGACCTTGTCATCAGTCCCCATGCTAGGTTTTTCTTAAAACCAGAAATACAGCATCTTGATTTACTGGAGCTCCAGCCAGTGGCTGCTATCTTTTGCTGCAGCCGGTGATCATGGGAATCATACTAGATGCCTATTCCTCTTCCAGGAGCTGTATATACATGTTGGTGCAGCTTTGGAAACATTCCTTTTTTTCCCCCCTCTCCCCATGAGAATCTCTTAACAGTTC